AGTCCCCATAACTTTATTTTAAAAAAAATTGAATGAAACGGAATGTGGCGGTAATCAATTGTCCATAACGTTATTTGTCAGTGGTATGTCTAAACGAACCTCGTCTACCCATATCATACGCAGAACGCACATTCTTGGGTTTGTGTGTGTGTGTGTTTTAGCCCAAAGGCAGTTTAAAACTTTTCGTCTGTCCGCTCGCAGAACACTTAAGCAGTGGCGGCCAAGTCTGATTGGAAGTTTGAAACAACTTGTCTTGAAGGCTTTGGCCACGATGCCATACAACAACAACAACAACAAAAAACAGGAATGTTTTGAGAAGTTTGTTTATTTTATAAATTAAAGTAAAACTTTTTTGTTGTGAATTGTTGGTGTTGTTGTTTTCGTCATTATTATGTTTATTGATTTAAGTAATGATTGTTTGTGATAGTATTGTGTTTTTTCTTCTTCCTCTTCGCCTCTATTTCCAATGAGATTAAATGTTGCCATGTGTAAAGATCAACAACAACAAAAAAAGAGATAGCGCAAAAAGAAAAACAAACTGAAAAATAATTGTCTATGAAATGAGATTTGTATTATTTGCTTGGCCAGGATTAAGTTTCGAGGGAGAGGTCTCATTTCGATTTGAATGCCACGGAATGACGTAGACACACACATATCCAAACATTGTTGTTGTTGTTGTTTTTCTAATTAATTGGATCGTTGAACTTGTAATGTGGGCGAGGAAGCTGGTGCCAGAGATAACAAGATTATCGTCTTATAGGGGCCATAATAAATCAAAACAGAAGCGGGGTTATTAAATCTGACTTGTTGTATGAGAACAAAAAAAATTCAAAAATAACGGGGATTTATACATGAGAAATGGGTTTATTTTTAGTACAAGGTAAATACAGTAAAACCTAATCAGTTGAAATTTTAGGACAAGAGAGATTTTAGGGAGAGAAATTACGACAAGAGTGCCAATAAAACTCTGAGTAAATTCTCCAAACTTTACAGTTAAATTGATATTTGATTACGATTCTACAAAATTTTAATGATTAGGGAAGGTGGAGGGATAACAAATTTATTCCATCTTTCTTTGAAGAAGAGCGGTGATTTCTTTTCATTTTATGGAAGTTGTTTTTGGTTTTTCCTTCAAAACAGCCAGATTCACCCCCATTTTTATACCCTACACCAAAAGGTGGTCAGGGTCTTATGTCTTGGTGCATTTGTTTGTAACAGGCAAAAGGAAACGAGATAGACCCATAGTTCCTTTTGCAGATCTGTAGAATCACATTCTGAGACGATTTATGCATGAACGTCCGTCCGTCTGTCCGTCTGTCCGTCGGTCTGTCTGTCCATGTATTTTTGTTAACAAATACAGTTCGCATTTATTGTCCTATCCAGATGAAATTTTCCAAACAACATTTGTTTGGCCTAAGGACGAACCCTATTGAAATAGGAGATAGTCGGAAAAAAATTAGATATAGCTCCCATATATATCTTCGTCCGATTTGCCTTTTATTGTACACCAAATGTGTAATATCAGCCCGAATAGTATGGAATTTTGCACATACAACCAAATTAGGCCTGAGAATAAGTATGCCAAATTTTATCGAAATCGGTTCAGATATAGCTATAGCTCCCATATATATTGTTCATCCGATTTCTTATTTTTGTGCTCCGCAGCCGCAGTAATATGCACTCTGTAACAACAATATTTGGGGAAATATATCAAATACAGCTCAGAAATACCTTTGCTAAATTTTATTGAGATCGGTTCAGATTTGGATATAGCTCCCATATATAACTTCGTCCGATTTACCTTTTATTGTGCACCATTCGTCTAATATTTGTCCAAATAGGATGGAATTTGGCACATACGACCGAATTGAGTCTAGAAGCTAGTATGTCAAGTTTGGTGAATATCGGTTCAGATATAGCTATAGCTCCCATATATATTGTTCATCCGATTTGTTACACACAGCCGTAATATGCACTCTGTAACAACAATAATTGGGGAAATATATCACATACAGCTCAGAAATATCTTTGCCAAATTTTATCGAGATCCGTTCCGATTTGGATATAACTCCCATATATATATCCATCCGATTTCAAATTAATTGTGCACCAAATGGGCAAAGATACAGAATTCAAAAGATACAAATGCTTCGACATATTAAGTCCTTTGAACTTTAAATTATAATTATAATCATAGCGTGCATTGTTATGCGAAGCTCTACTAAATTAACAAAGTGGTGTACGGTATCATAAAGTCGGCCCCGCCCGACTTTAAGACTTTTTTTACTGGTTTTATTTACAAATTGTTTACACCTTATATAGGAGATTCCGGAATGAGTGTACAGGGTCACAATATTAAAGGGTCACAATATTAAATACTTTTATCTGTCATAGCTTCCGAACCAGCCATTTTAAAATTTTCTAAGTGATTTAAATAACCAATATAGTCCAAACCTGGGACGTCGCAATGTTTATTAGGTCCGCTACGAAACCATGTTATTTAGATCCGATACGAAATGGGCAATATCAGCCTAATGCTTCGGAACCTACTTCATAGAGGTCCCACAATATGAATAATCATATCAGAAGTCAAAATATTTTTAAATAATAGAACTGAGGGTATACATTAGTCGCAAAACCGGCTGAAACTTTTTTAACTTGTTTTCAAAAAAAAAATGGAAACTGCCGCTGTTTTTTTTTTTTTTTTTTTTGGAAGGACTGTTATTGGTTTTCAGTTATGACTATTTGGTGGGATTATCATAGGGTCCAAACTTTAATTTTGAAAAAATTTTTAGGATAATTTAACTATTTTTAAAAACATATATTTGGAGGATTTTTCAATCGTCAAGAAAATTGTATTTTCGATGTATTTACTTTTTGCGTAACTCTCTGAGGCCCCATGGTGGTCATTTAAATAATGTTTTTATGGTCCTTCTACGGTTAAAAAGATAAAGTTGTTGAGAGCTTTTTTTCAAAAAAAAAATTTTTTTCTTGAGCAACTATCGATCTTTCCGTAGTGTATTTCTAAGATAAGTCTGCCTGAATGTTCGCCCTATCACTTGTACAGAATTTTTTGAGAGAAATTCAAGTTTTTTGAGCCTCCTAGGCAAATTTTAAAGATTATTTTTGAGAGATGATCTCAACGTCGCACATGGAGTTTTTTAATAATTTTTTGAGGTACTCAATAATCTTTTAAGAAAATTTTTCTGAGGGTCCAACATTATTTTTTTAAGAATATTTTTTATGGGTGCAATATGAAAGTTCTGAAGATTAGTTTTTGCAAAAAAAATTCGAAGATCCAAAACGGGCCTTTAAGTACATTTTCATGGACTATTTTTTAAGAATTACTGTAGGTCCCAATGTGGATTTTCAAGAAGATAATACCTGAGGACCTAACATAGATATTTTGAGATTTTTTTTAGGAATATATTTGGATCGCATACGGACCCTTATGCCATGAGTGAAAAACGTGGGTTTAAAAAAAATATTTAAAATTATTATTATTTTTTTTAGGAAAGCTTAAGAAAAATATCTGATCAAAGTTGAACTTTTTAAATATTTTTTAAAGGCCTACCTGTAAGACCATAGTTTTTTTAGTTTTTTTTTTTTTTTTTTGGGGGGGGGACAGTTTGAAGACCTAACGCATACTTTTTAGGAATATATTTTGAGGGACTGTCTGAAGATGTAACCTTATTTTTGATTATTCTGAGGGTTACTTGGAAATTTTAAGATATTTCTGAAAGACTTTTTAAGTCTATAAAAAGTGAAATCCAGTTTCAGATTAATTTTGAAATAATTTTAATGGAGCTGTTGTGACTTCTATGTTTGTAAAGAGTTCCAAATTAGATGTTTTAAGTAAATTTGTTGAGGGACCGTTGAAGAGTTCACGGACTTTCAGGAAAAGAATCAACATGGACTCTTTCAAAATATTTTGAGGTACTATTTGAGGGTCCAAAGTGGAGTTATTATGAATATTTCTATCACTATTTGAATCTATATTGTAGTATTTAAATATAAAGTTTGAGAATGTCCGACGTGTATTTTTAGAGAGTCCAAAGTGGTTTTTGAGAGACCGTCGATTTTTAAAAATACCTTTTAAGGTACCGTCTGAAAGTCCAACATCAATTTTTAGTTCCAAACGTCTTACGTGGATTTTTTAGGTAATTTTTTTGATGGATGATTTGAGGGTCTTCATAAATCCAAAGTGGAGTGGTTAAACATATTTCTATGACTACTAGAAACTTTGAGAGAACGAAATTTTTAAAAAATATCCTATATGGTACCCTCCGAAAGTCCAACTTCAATTTTTGGTTGCAAGCGTAAAACGCATTTTTATTTTTATTTATTTATTTTTTTTTTTTTTGGATAATTTTAGGGTCCTCGTGAATTGTTAGGAATATGGCAAATTGTTAGCCTATGACAAAAAATTACTTATGAATAAAAAGGTCTTCGTATAGCCCCCATATAACGGTATCTCTCTTTATTCGGTATTTTGATGATTTTAGCGACATTTTTCGCGGGAATTGTTTCAAACTTCGTACTTGAAGATCTTAATGGGTACTACAGCCTATGACAGAAAGATTACTTATGCAGGTTCAAGTCTTCGTATAGCCCCTATATAAGGGGTTTTAATTGAGGGGTATTTTTCTACGGAAAATCTCGTCGAGTTCAAGCGTAGATTTTTTTTTTTGAACATCTGATTTTTTTAAGAATATTTTTGAGAAGTTTAAAGTTGATTTTTTAATAATAGTTTAAAACCTTACTTTTTTAGAAAAAAAATATGGTCTATGAGAAGAAATAAACTCCATGGATTAGTTTTTACGAAAAACATGAGAACTCCTTGACGATTTTTATTAATATTTTAAATGTTTAAAAAAAGGAGGTTCATTGACGAATCTTATCTGATTTTCAAAAATATTTTTTAAGTAACCATAAATCTATTTCTCAATTCAACCTCCAATAATTACAAAAAATCCTTCTAAAATATTTATTTTCGAAATTTATTCACTTCCACATTGTTTTGATTTCAATTGACAGCATGGCATTTCCGTAGACAGATAAGTCATACCGCATGGTTGACAAACCAAGAGCACATGTGATTTCCTTCTCTCCACTTCGGGATTCACAATAATTTTACGACCACTGAAGGATACCTTTCTTTTTGGTTTCCGCTTCTTCTTAATGGAAGTCAATATCTCCCCTGCCTCTTCTTTAATAATTCCATCCAAATATCCTTGCAGATCATATTCCTCTCTGGCGGGTTCCTGATATTGCCAAAAGTTGCTAACCTTTACTTCCGAATTTAATTCCTCTTTAGATTCATTGGAATCCTGGGAGGTTCGTAATTTCGTTAGGCGTTTCTTTTGACGATTTTTGGAAAGCGATTTTTTGGAAGTCCCACGTCGTTTTGATTTTGAAACAGTGGAGGGAAGTGAGTGTTGCGACAGAGGTGGTTGTGGCCATTCAAATATTTTGCTGGTCGGCACCAAATCACGAATATCAATCCTTTGACCCTTCTCCGACATTTTGAGTATGTCTTCATTGATGACCGGTGTCTCACCAGGTATTACCTCAGTCATTTTATATTGACTCTTCATGCCAGCCTGCACCAGACGCTCTAATTCCTTTTCAATGACAGAAGGTGAACGTGGTTTTTGTTGATTTCTATCCCTCTCCTCCTTTTCCCGCCTGGCCCTCTCAATTGCCATGGCTTTTTCTTGTTCCATTTGATGTTGTTTTTGTTTCCTCTCCTTTTGTATGCGATCACGTATCATGCGGGATTGTGTCTTAACCAAATTCCTGAAATATTTGTCATCATATATGGAGTGTTGCTTTTTGGAGGATCCGTTTTCTGTGGGAATTTCCCCCTCATCGCCGAGATAGGAGGGTTTACTGGTACTGTGACGTGGCATTTGAAAGTAATCGGAATTTTTACCCAGCAAGTGTATGGATTTGAAAGTGTCTTTATCCAAAGGTCGTTGGAAGCTGATTTGTCGGTGTTTGCCTTTGGATTTTTTGAATTGGCGGCGCATTTCTTCAACATTGACGGTGGTTTTCCTTGGCGGACTTTGTTTGCCCAGGAGCTGTGGCTTTTTGGAAAATTTCTTACTGGACTTTAGCAGGCCTTGTGATGAGGATGTGGATGATGTTTTGGATTGTCTTTTTCCTCCAGCTTTTTCTTTCGATTTCCTCTTCGATTTTGTTAGCCTCCTCTTACCCTCCGAGGAGGAACGTGTGGAATGGGTTATTGTGGAACTGGAACTTCTTTTGTTACCTCTTAGTTTTCTCGAGATTTTAGAGGATCTTTTGGAATCTCCAATTGGCATGGGCTCTTTTCGGCCTCTGTTACGTGAGCTGAGGGTGACAGGGGATTTCTTGCCTATCAACAGATCGAAGGGTACAAATTTATCTTTTCTACTAATTTTGGCAATTTTCATGATTTTCCGATCCAGACTTGGTAGATTTTCTCCGGGACTGGGATCTGAGGAACTTTTCAAGCGCACCGACTTTTTGATTTTCCTTAATTTCAAGGAACCCGAAGAAGATTTCTTGCCCGAACTTGAGGAAACTCCAATGCCAAGATTCAAATCGCTTAGGTTTGAGGCTCTTTTTTTCAAGGAACTCTCTTGGGTTTTCAAATTTTTCTTCTTTGTTCTGTACACTTCAATGCTGGAACGCAAGTCTGTGATCTGCTTCTCTAAATTCCCTTGCCTACCTCTCGTTTGAATAATTTTACGTTGTAATTTTTTCAGAGCAGGATGCTGATTTTTTCCTCTCCTCTTGATGATCTCCTTTCTTCTTCTCTCAATTCTTAATTCCCGGTCATAAATTTTCTTATCCTCCCGACTTAAACTTGCCATTCTCCGTAACCTTCTCAAACGTTCTCTTCTCACCAAATTCCTGACATATCTCTCTCTTTTTAGACGTTTTCTTTTTCTGCTACGCCTCTCCATCATTTTCTCCAGCTCTGCCTGCAATTTCTTTCTGAGCTGCAGTTTTTTCTTCAAGGTCCTTCGACATTTTACAATTTTCTTTATGCAACGTAAACGCAATAAACGATTTCGTCTAATTTTCCTTTTGATACGTTTCAAAAGCCTCTTCCTTCCGAGTATGAAATATTCAAATTCTCTATTCTTCTCCCAAGCGATTTTCTGATCTAAGCTAAAGATTTTCTCTTTTCGTTTGGCACGATGTTGTTGAAGGGTTTTAATCGATTTAATGACATTTTTCAATTCGGCTTTTGTCATTTGGAAGAGGAAAGAATGATACAAGGAAGAGAAAAAAATAAATAATAGCAGAATAAATTTGAAAAGGGGGAACACAAATAATGCAGTGTTGGAAAACTTTAGTTCTAAACGTCACTATTGAATCACATGTGAGGATTATGTTAAGTAAAATTAGTCGAACTAAAAAATTCAGCTAAAAATACCTCAAGAGGTCTTGTGAGTCTTTCCTATGTCACATTAGATATTATAAGGTCTATAGGGACCTTGTATGAAACAAGAAAATTGGTAAAGTTATACAAGCCTTCAATAGCCTTCTAAAGCTTCTGGATTTGATCAAATTTCAGAAAAAACGCAAATACGACCTAATTCAATTTCGTCTCTGAATTATCTTTTTTTTTTTTCTTAATTAACCAGAAATCTCATGCGACTTAATTGTCTAAAACAGCTTCTTACTTTACTGAAATTTCAGCATAGGCAAGAAAATCGACAATATTCGGAAAAGACTGATCAAATTTCACTCTTTCTAAAGTAAAATAAAAGAAACATTTCCTCATAATTTTTTGAATCTTTAGAGGATCTTCTAAGCCCCTTGAAGACTTATTACAGTTTTGTAAGCAATTCAGACGTCTCAAAATACCTTTGCGGTCTCAGAATACATTCTATATTCACAGAAGATATTTATGGTTGAATGTTAAAATATCTTCCATTCGTATATTATGAAAGTTCTACAAAAGACATTAGCATCTTAAAAGTCTTTCAAAAAGTAAAAAAAAATGGCTTTTGTGGGTCACTCAAGATTGTTAGGAAACATAGAAGATCCGGGACTCCAATTCGCACTATTTTACTGGAAAGTGATAAAAATTTACTAGTGAGAGTTCTTAAAGAGTTTTATTTTTATACCCTCCATTTTGAAAAATATTACCTACTACTTTATTCGAGCGAGTTTCACTCTTTACTCGAATCGGACCTTCTGAAGAAGTATGTTCAATTTTCGATGGACTTTAAAGTCTAAGCAGAATATCTAAGTTTTTGGGGCTATTCGGAATTAGGTGTCTAAGATTATATATTCATTATGGAGTTAATGAAATGCTAGCATATTTTCATTTCAAAGAGAGGCATTTAAGGTCTCAAAGTAGCGTCTACTTCAAATCTGGTCTTTAAGGTTTCATTAAGCCTGACATTAATTCGATAGACCAGGATATTCAAGATACATCTTTAGTGTTTCCCAAGAACGTCAACGTTTTAAATGGCTTTTAGGCTTTATAAACCCTTACAGTACTTCGAAAAGCCCTCATAGATCTTAGAAAGCCTTCCAAGTACTTAAGATACGTATTGAGAGCTTTAGAGGACTTTCACGTCCCATATAACTTCATAAGGCTTCTCTCTTTTAGAAGATCCATCCAAAGAGAGAGATCCATGCAAGACTTTCGAAGGACTTTTTAAATATATTTAAGTTTTTAAGTGAACTTTTAGAGTTTTTGAAAATATTTTAGGGTCTTTGGAGGCCATCAGAGGTCTTATGAGCGAATATATGGAATTTTTTAAATATGGGAAGTAGCAATGTGTGTGATATTTTTTAAGGTAATTTCAAGAGAATCAATTTTAACAACCTTTGGAGTTCCATTAGCTCCCACCACTGTTATCTAGGATAATTAACGGGAGAATAATTAAAGAAGATCCTACGAATTTTGATTCCGCATGGTAAAAGCACTTTGCGTATTGTCGAAAATTTTTAAAATAAGAAATTTAAAGCTTTATTTGTTGAGGTGACCACAATGCATGTTTGCTTGAAATATAAGTCTTATGCCCAGCCACTTGCCAAAAAAAAATACCCACTGATGACCAAACCCATCACAAGGTTGACAGAACAAAAAGGACCTCCTCCCCCATTTTAAAGACTGTCTATGACTAACTATTTTTTTTTCTCGGTACATAGCAATTGTCATTACAATAGTGTTTTAAAATGTCCATTTTATAGCCTTGAAATATCATCCTAAGTCTCCAAATAGATTTTTTGAGCTTAGAAGATAACGTAACGTCTTGAATCAAGAAAAAATGTAAAATTAAAGTTTTTGAATCTCAGTCTCTTTCACTCTTCTTTATTTCTCTCTCTGCCTCTCTCTCTTTAAAAATATAGCTTTTACATTATTATGTTTAATATGTTAACTTTGGAAGAAATCAGTTAAAATCCACCCTTTTTATGCTCCTTTTTAGCTTACAAGATTTTCAAAACGATATGAACTAAAAACATTCACCATCATAATTTTGATTTCAATCATATGATCTTGTAAAATGAAAAACAACAATTGTTGATAAAATCGAGTGTTTTCGATAAAAAAAATAAAGAAATGAAAGCGAATAATGCGAAACGAAATGTTTAATCAACGAACGCCGTTTTTTCTTTTTTAAAAATTGTACATTTAATGATACAAAACAAAAGACTTAAGACACAAACCTATTCCATTTGCCTCATGTGAAATGAGCGCCATACTTATTGTTTGGAAGAGAGAGAGAGAGAGACAGAGTTCTCTCAATAGGAACTGTATTAAAAACTCAATTTTCTTTACGGCAAACTTTATACATATAAATTGGGACTATATAAAAATGTCTCAGGGGGTCCTAGCGAAACAGTCTGTGGTTTTAAAGCCCGTAAACGAATTTGTAAGGTCTTCTTATGTAGCAAGAGAAACTGAAGGCGATAGATGTCTTCTCTAGCTTACTAAAACGTCTAAAACATCTTCGAGAACATCGAAAGGCCTTCAAAGCTTTTAAAGGGGCAAGTGCGATATAATTATTTTATCTGAAAATATTAAACATGAATGCAATGCAGTTAATACGCCTCCTATTGCTATATTCCTTCCTTAATAAAATACCCTTTTGTATATCCTTAGACACATTCTACAAGCCTTCTACGTATAGATTAATCAACTACTAAAAAAATAGATTTTTACTTTTTTGAACAACAGTGGACAGGCCAATAATCTAGGGGGCTTCACTAGACTCTTATAAGGACCTATTTCCAATAACCGTCTATTTTTTACCAATATTTCTCCAAGGCACAGAAAATCAATATAGGGTGAGATTAAAAACCAAATTCAGACTGCTGTCATTTCTAAGCCACTCGTCCGACAGCTGTTATAATTATTCCAGTGACTGCTCTTTATATTGTTTACAACCGAACAAAAGCATTTTGGTGAGAATTTTCCGGAAAAAAATTTATTAGTGATGGAATTTTAGCGTTATAGTGCGATTTCTTTATATTTAGCTGGAAAACCCCAAAGTGGCTATCGTTAAATGTGAATAAATCTTTTTTGTCTCGTACCATCGCTCGATACCGTGATACTGAAAGCGTAGCCCGACGTCAAGGAAGTGGATGGAAGAAAGCAGCAACATCAGCAGAAATGGTTCGAAAAGTAGAGAAGCGACTTGGCCGCGACCCGCGGCGCTGTGGCCGAAAAATGGCTCGTGAGCTGAACATATCGCAATATTCCATTCGGCAAATATTGAAAAATGAGCTCGGGATAAAGCCATTGAAATTCCAAAAAGTGCAAGAACTTACACCGCACCAAGGAAACCCAAGAAAACAGATTCAAAAGCGCTAAAGAGTTGCTTCGCTTGGCCGAAAGTGGTGAACTGCCGAATTTGGTTTTCTCTCTCTCTCTCTCTCTCTGATGAGAAAACATTCGTTGTCCAGCACTTTGTAAACAACAACAAAACAAAATGATCCTGTTTACTTGCCAAAGAGGTCAGCTGAAAATGTGCACCTTCGGTTGGCCACCAGAGCTCAAGCGCCGGCCATTGTGATGGTGTGGGCCGTCATAACAGCCGATGGTCGCTCATATCGCAATAGTCCATTCGGCAAATATTGAAAATGAGCTCGACACCGCAACAGAAAGAAGATAGACTCAAAAGAGCTAAAGACTCAAATGAGCTTCGCTTGGGCGAAAGTGGTGAACTGCGGTATTTGGTGTTCTCCGATGAGCCGCTCGTATTAATCGACCGTGGCATCAGAATAAATTTTGAATATTATAGCGAAAATATTCTGGAGGGTATATTAAAGCTTCGGGCACGCAAACATTTTGGCCGCCGACCTTGGACATTCCAACAGGACGCAGCACCATCGCACTCAGCACCCGCCACCCAAGAATGGTTACAAAATGAGGTTCCTCGCTTCATTTCCAGCGCATAATGGTCACCTAAATCTCCGGATACCAATCCGTTGGACTATTGTGTCTGGAGTATTTTGGAAAGCAAGGTTGGTACTAAAAAATACCAAAGTGTCGATCACCTCAAGCAAGCGCTTCGCCGGAAATGGGCCAAAATGCCGCAGAGACTCATTCGAGCTGCGTGTGACGGTTTCATTGGCCGTTTGAAGGCCATAATTCGTGTCAAAGGTGACCGATTCGAACAAATCTAAACTTATTCTAAAATTTGATTTTCCGACATTTTTTGCTTTCATGCAGGAACAAGAACGAACTTTTCTTGATCCTTTTCCGTCTCAATTGATTATTCAGGATCCAAAATAACCTTCCAATACCTCTCCACCTTCAATACCATTGCAATTTATGTAACACCACCTCCTTCGCCCCCTCTTCATCTCTCGTCGATCACCTCAAGCAAGCGCTTCGCCGGGA